TCAAAGTTAAGGACCAAGTGTCCGAAATTTTGGAACTTGGAACTCAAAGTTAAGGACCAAGTGTCCTTAACTTTTAAACTTGGAACTCAAAGTTAAGGACCAAATGTCCTTAACTTTTGAACTTGGAACTCAAAGTTTAGGACCAAGTGTCCTTAACTTTTGAACTTGGAACTCAAACTTCAGGACCAAGTGTCCTTAACTTTTGAACTTGAAACTTGAAGTTCAGGACCAAGTGTCCTTAACTTTTGAACTTGGAACTCAAACTTCAGGACCAAGTGTCCTTAACTTTTGAGCTTGGAACTCAAACTTCAGGACCAAGTGTCCTTAACTTTTGAACGTGGAAATCAAAGTTAAGGACCAAGTGTCCTTAACTTTTGAGCTTGGAACTCAAACTTCAGGACCAAGTGCCCTTAACTTTTGAACTTGGAAATCAAAGTTAAGGACCAAGTGTCCTTAACTTTTGAACTTGCAACTCAAAGTTAAGGACCAATTGTCCTTAACTTTTGAACTTGTAACTCAAAGTTCAGGACCAAGTGTCCTTAACTTTTGAACTTGCAACTCAAAGTTGAGGACTGCATGTCCTTAACTTTTTAACTTGTAACTTGAAGTTTAGGACTACCTATCCTTAAATTTTTAACTTAATTTCTTTCACATGATTTAAAGAAAGACCTAGGATCAAAGATTGATACTTTGTTGAAGATTCTTGTCAAATCTGATGAAAGGAACATAGAGAGAGAATCTACTATTCCAAGTAGTAAAGATGCAGTTGAAAAAGAACCTACTGTTCCAATTAACAAAGATGCAGGTGATGATCAATGTGATGATACAGATGTGCATGCATAAGATCATTATGAAAGCGATTATAGAGATGCGCATCTAGAAGATGAAACTGATATTGGCACTGAAATTGGGAAAGGTTAGATATAGACTTTGAATTTGTTGTCATTGAAATTTATATTCAGTAGTATAATATATATAAACTTTTTTGTGATTACAAATATATGTAGAATCTATTGATGGAGTGGAAGTTCAAGATGTAGTAGAATGTCAAGACTAGGAAAATCCAAAAGAGACAGGAGTAACAACAACAATTTGTAAATATGGAGTGCAATCTTGGGATTTAGAAAATCCATTGGGAACAAGTGTAAGTGAGATTGTATGCAAATGTGTTGAAGGAATATATGATTTCTCTACACCTCTCTCACTTAAAGAGAAATTGGGAAATCAAAATGATGCCAATCAAGGTTAGATGGAATTTTCATGATATGTTGAATGTTAGTTTTAGTAAACTATTAGTAAAGGGTATTAATTGTAAATGTTACAGAATCTTTTGAAGCTGCAAGGGAAGAAGATGGAGTGGACTATCAAGAGAGAAGTTGAGGACAATCTCAAGACTTAGAAAATACCCAATGAACAAGCATAAGTGAGATTATTTGCAAATGTATAAAAGGAACATATGATCTCTCTACACCTGGCTCTCTTACCGATAATATTGGAAGCCAAGAAAATGCTAGTGAAGATAATGATTTAACTGGCATGATCTTGACAGTTGCAAAAGGTTAGACGGAGTTTTTTTTTAATTTTATACATGTTTGTTTTAATCAAAGATTAGTAACAAGTACTAATTGTGTTAACTCTTGTAAATATTTTGCAGAATCTTGTGAACTTGCAATCAAAGATCATGGAGAATAGTTGCAAGATAAAGAAAATGCACAGTTGCAAGATAAAGAAAATGCAACCAAGATGTCAGCTCAATTGACTGTTGAAAAAGTACAAGAATGCAGCGTGGACAACACATGTATTGATTGTGTCCTAAATATTATATTCATAATTGAAATTGCCAGTACATTTCAAAAATTATGTCCTTAGTTTTTGTCTCTTCATTTGACAATTCGTTGTAAAATTTACGACTTGCAGCAAACTAATGTATATGTAGTGTTGTCTGCAGAGCAAAACAAAAATGAAGCCGTTAACCAATATGCTAGGAAAAGGAAGAGAAATAGTTTTGATGGTCCATCATTTTCTATTCTTACTCCTACTCCTCCAACTACACAAAGTAGCATTGATGAGGGTTTGTCTATAGAGGTTGAAGGAAATGTTGAAGAAGATCTTGGTCGAGGGAAAAGGAATAAGAAGCTTAGTTGGCAATTGAAATCTCCTTTTGAACAGGAAAGAAAAACAGGAACATCGACGGCGCACAATGAAAATACTCCCAAGAATACGGGCTGGATAAAATCAAAATATACTCGTAAATGTATTTCTCATTATGCCAAAGATGATGCAAACTATATTGAAGAAATTTATTGGGTGGTTGGGAAAGGAGAAAAGGAAAGGTCGCAAAAAAGCGTAAGTTCCTAAATGTATCTCATTATTTGTTAATTGTCCTTAACTTTTGAGATTGCAAGTCTAAGTTCAGGACCAAGTGTCCTTAACTTTGAACTTGTAAATGTAAGTTCAGGACCAAGTGTCCTTAACTTTTGAACTTGGAACTCAAAGTTTAGGACCAAGTGTCCTTAACTTTTGAACTTGTAAGTCTAAGTTCAGGACCATGTGTCCTTAAGTTTTGAACTTGGAACTTGAAGTTCAGGACCAAGTGTCCTTAACTTTTGAACTTGTAAGTCTAAGTTCAGGATCAAGTGTCCTTAACTTTTGAACTTGCAACTCAAAGTTCAGGACCAAGTGTCCTTAACTTTTGAACTTGTAACTCAAACTTCAAGACCAAGTGTCCTTAACTTTTGAACTTGTAACTGTAAGTTAAGGACTGCCTGTCCTTAACTTTTGAACTTGGAACTTGAAGTTCAGGACCAAGTGTCCTTAACTTTTGAACTGCAAACTTAAAGACTGCCTGTCCTTAACTTTTGAGCTTCTTAGCCTAAGTTCAGGACCTATTGTCCTTAACTTTTGAGCTTCTTAGCCTAAGTTAAGGACTGCCTGCCCTTAACTTTTGAGCTTCTTAGCCTATGTTCAGGACTAGATGTCCTTAATTAGGAAATGAGGACTGACTTCTAACTTTGATATTTTCAAAATTTTCAGGGGAGAAACTGATATATATGCCGACGATAATGGTGTGAGAAAGAATCCATATAAATTGTACCATAAAAAAAATCAGTAGCAAAATGTTCTTCCTTGAGCTTTCAAATAGTAGCTTTGTACTTGATGATAAGGTTTGATAATTCGCAAGGCATTTATTTTCTTTATTCTCAATTTATTATTTTTTTAGTTATTTATGACTGATGGATTTGTTTTATTTTTTTGGCTTTTTATGAAGCATATTGACATTGCCCTGTATTATTTTGAGAAAGAAGGAATGCTACCACCCTCGCGCCCATCCGTTTCGTTGCACAACTACAAATATACTTTTTGATAACTATATGGTACTTTTATATAAGGATTTCAATGAAGATGCTACAGATGAGTTTTGGTATGGTGATAATCAATTGTTTCTGACACCATATGTGTGGGGTGACGGTCGTAGATGTGGAATTGCTTGGACAGAGGTTGACAAAATCTTTTTTCCATGTCGGCTTCCTTCAGAAGATGATAATGCTGTGACACATTTTCTTTTGGGGGTATTGGACTTGAATGAGAAAAATATTGATGTGTACGATTCCATATATAGTGAGCCATATGAGGCAGGAATGAATCACATTGAAATGTATGCACGCATGATCCCCCACTTGCTAAAGTTCTCATAGTTTGAGAAAAATCACAAGTCTTTTGGAAATGCATTCAACAAATTTGATATTCAGTGGCAAAGCACACTAAACTGGATCGTACGTGTTGTCATTTGCTATATAATTTATATGTACTTTAGATTCATTTTATTAAAGATATTGTTTAATTGACTCCATATCTTACATTTTTCTTAGGACTGATTGTGGTGCATTCCTTATCAAGTATGTGGAGTTGTTGATGATCGGATAGGATGTGGAGAAATTTCAACCTGAAGACATAACAAACTTTAGAAAAGAACTTGCAGCAAATCTTTGGGCACATGGAGAGTGGAAAAGAAATTCAGGTTATGATACACCACAAGAAAATGTCAGCGACGACTATGATAGTGAAAATGAAACTTCCTGCCCAAAGGAGCTGTAGTTTAGTTGTAAAGAAAGTTAGCTGTAGTTGATTTTTTGTATAAAATTGCTTTAAACAATCCATATGAATTCTGAAATATTTTGTAAATTTCACAATTCACTTTTATTTTGTTTGCATATCATAATTTTTTGTCACAGCTATGCCAAATTACAGTTTCAGAAGTAATATGAAGGCATCATGTTATTAATTTCTTTGTTTCTGTCAAGTATTGATTTGTCCATTTGCAATCCCTAAATTAAGTGTATTGAGCTTGTAAGTATTAGTTAAGGACCAAGTATCCTTAACTTTTGAGCTTGGAACTCAAACTTCAGGACCAAGTGTCGTTAACTTTTGAGCTTGGAACTCAAACTTCAGGACCAAGTGTCCTTAACTTTTGAACTTGGAAATCAAAGTTAAGGACCAAGTGTCCTTAACTTTTGAACTTGGAAATCAAAGTTAAGGACCAAGTGTCCTTAACTTTTGAACTTGGAATTCAAAGTTCAGGACCAAGTGTCCTTAACTTCTGAACTTGGAAATCAAAGTTAAGGACAAAGTGTCCTCAAATTTTGAACTTGGCAATCAAAGTTAAGGACCAAGTGTCCTTAACTTTTGAACTTGGAATTCAAAGTTAAGGACCAAGTGTCCTTAATTTTTGAACTTGGAACTCAAACTTCAGGACCAAGTGTCCTTAACTTTTGATCTTGGAACTCAAACTTCAGGACCAAGTGTCCTTAACTTTTGAACTTGGAATTCAAAGTTCTGGACCAAGTGTCCTTAACTTTTGAACTTGTAAATCAAAAGAAACAAAAAGCACGTAAGTGCAAAGAAACTTTGAAAATTCAGGATATCTGCTCAAATAAAAATAATTTAACTGAATCCAATTTATAGCAAAAACTTAAAAGAGTATATAAACATAAGTGGATATACTATCCTCTATGCTTCCTTGAAAATGGATGGACTGCCGGAGAATATATACAAGCTGTTCTATTATGGCCAATTCTTCTGCAACGACCGCATTTGAATGTTATTTTTGATGACTCGGTAGCTGGAATATGCCTTTTCTTCTGCCTTCTACCTGGTGACACTTTGAAATCTGGAGGTTTAATAATTTGTGACTTAACACTCTCTGGTAGAATCCAAGAATCAGTATGTCCTACAGGATGTATTTGTCTTTCATATGTTTTCAGCCAAGATTCCTTTAAGTACCAGTGCGAGCAAAAGTTGGACTTCTTGATGTTTCTCTTCTCGATAGCTGCAATTGCATGTATGAATGGTAATTCATCAAATTGAAACTGAAAACAATCACATGTCCTTTTGTATAAGTCCACCAAGAAAGTAATTCCTTCTTCCTCAACTCTAGAACGCCATGAATCAACAGGGATGACCTTCAATGTTGAAAAATTATAAGTTAGTACATTATGTTTAATTATCATTAAAATATTAAGCTAAACAAAGAATTTAATACTTACATTCAAAGTAAATGCTAAATCTATCTTTTTCTTCAATTCCTCTTCTACCCAACAAGAAACGTCATAAAAAGTTGCTTCTGCTTCATTTCTCCTTTCATAAAACCAATGTTGTAGCTTTACTTGGATGAAATCCATCATTCTTAATATAGGCAGTGTTGATACCCAATTTTTCCCTGTATTTTTTTAATATGCAAAATACTTTCAAAATAGTATGTATGTGCATATATAAGTATGTCCCAATATTTTATTATTTTTTTCTAATTTTTAAAATATTTTTAAATCAATTTATTACCTTATTTTATCAAGAAAAACCCAGTAATTATTTCCAAAATTATCATTTTGGTAATTCATTTATTGGTTTCTCATATTTGCACTAAAATATAGCCAACATAATTTTTGCGAATTTTTTACAAATTTATTTAGTATTTCAAAAGCTAATTGCGTATAATTGCAAAATTAGCCTCTTTTAAGGTTTAATTGTGTTTATAATTATAAAATTGACTCCAATATTTTTAATTTGATAATTACGTATTATTAATCATTTCAGTACCTTTAATTTATTTTCAGAAATTATTCTACTTTTTTTATAAAATAAACAAGGGAAAAATGGCTATTTAAATATTAGCCCATTTTCATTTCAATTTTTAGCCTGATTTGGCACCCCAATCAGACCCAATCCAAAAACCCAATTATCCAGCCCAAATCTTAATCTACCCGACCCACGACCCTTTTAAAATAACCTGCCCGGATCCCCATTCAATCCAGGCCGTTGATCAAAATGATCAACGGCCATCATTTATCCTTTCCTTTTTAATTTCCCATTACCCCCAAACCCTAATCACTTCTCACCGGTAGCCACCCTTGAATCCCCCCTTCTCCCAAACTCTCTTTCAAACCTAGCCGCCGTCTTCTAACACCACCCTAAAATCGCCTGAATCAGTGGATTCCAAAGCTATTAAAGGCCTGTATCTGCCTCCTGTGACTCCTACATGCTCGATTATTATGGTTTTAAGACCATACTTTGAAGAAGCTTGGTCCAGACCTCGGATGCTTTCAGTCCTATGGCTATTTCTGGCCATCTTTGACCTTGTTTCGGCCAGCCATGGCTATTCAAGCCTGGCTCTTGCTTTTCTTGCTTAGATCAATGACCTTCCAAGCCTTTCTCACCATCTGGGTTCTTCTGAAACCCTAACCTTCGAGGTTCTTCTAATTCTTTTAGATCCGTTGTAGATCTATGTTTTCTCTAAGCTTTTAAACGTTTTCTCAAAAGTTTCTTTCAAAACTTTACCTTCAGAACCTTTATCTTATCCGATTTAGGGTTTTGCTAAGTTATTTAGAAGTTTCTATGATCTTTAGCATGTTCTACTGTGTTCCTTTATGTTGTTCTTCTACTGAAGTGTGCATGTTAAAGTCTCAGTTCTTTCTTAAGGTTTCTGATTTTATTTTCTTTGTTGATATTTTTGCCTGATTCTCTTGTCTATCATCTCTATACTCGATTGATGGTAGAAACCCAAAAATTTGGGGGTTCATTCGAGTTTTGAGACTATTTGCTATGTGATTTGCTTGTTCCTCATCTCTGAACTTGTTTGGTTTCAAAACCCTAATTTCTTTGGACCTATTCAAGTTTCTGAAGTTGTTTCATCTACTGCTCGACTGAGTTTTGAAATCTTTGTTTCAACTTTTGTTTCTTTGTATGATTTTGACTTCCTGCTAAACTCTACAAGATCTTTTACTTGACCCCTTTTGCATGCTATTGGATACTCCCTCTTCTCTGTTACTGAGGTGACTACCATGTTCCTACAGTCCACTACTTACTGATTTTTGTGATTGCATGACACTTCTCTTTGCCATAGATTCAACCTTGCATGCTTAATGTCTATGCACTCTTTATAGGCTAAATTTCCCTCTCAAAATAACCCTTGATTGTGGACTGAATTCAGACCTCCTCGTGTAAGTTTGATTGATTCTTTCCTTGTTTACTGATTTCCCTGTTTCTTAGGTTGATTTGAAAGCTTTCCTTAGCCTTTAGATTCTCCTATTTCTAACTTGGTTTATTTGTTTATTCATGAATCAGTAATTTCGAATCCCTGACTCCTTGATTTACTATGTATTGATTGCCTCTATATTCTGCAGCTTTACTTTGTTTTCTTACCTTATTTGGTTAACCGAGTCTTTCAAAGATTCTTTCCTTAATTAAACCCTTATGTATTTACCCCTAATTGTCTACTTTGCACAAGATGCTTACTTGATTTCTTCCCTTAAAAGTTTTCTGTCCACTACCGTTTGGTTTTATCTCCTTGATTAAAGGAAGTCTTTGATACTGATTGATTTTTAATTGATACATAGTTCCATAATTATTTTCTTGCCTTACTTTCTACCTATTTTCAAACTATAAATACCCGGCTTTTCCATTAACAAACACACGAATACTCTTAGTTTCTGAACTCACACTCACACTCAAAAGTATTCTCTCTTGTTACTTCTACTGTGGCCTGCTCTCAAGCCCTGCTACTTGCTTCTACTGTATTTTGTTCTCTGAAACTGGTACGTCCTGATTAAGATTTTCAGCAATCACAACGATGTGTTTACTTAATACTTTAACCCTCTTGTCTGCCTACTGCTTGTGTTTAGTTTAGTACTTATTTTAGTATGTTGCAATTTCCTTTTGCCTGTTCTGCACCTACTATGCATCCTAAATATGTTTGATGCTAATGGTTTGTTTGAGGCATGACAGCATCAAGTATTACTGTCTATGACTCAAACTTGATTCCCCTGGAATCATAACCTCTATGTTACCATCATATGTTGTGTATTCTTGTTGATTCTGCAAGCATAACAGCACTCTCTATTGCTGTGTATGCCCAAAATTTGCTAATTGCCTAAGTACATAGGCTCTTTGAAATCCTCAATCCCTGAACCCCTTTGTGTGAAATCCTCGATCCTGTAATTGTTTCCCAGCCCCTCTTCTCCTCTTCTGTGCTTTTTCTTAATTCTTTAAAACTCTGTTTCTTCACTTGCACTCTCTCTTAGACTTAAGTTCTGCCCCCCTCTTGTGAGCCTTGCCTTGGGACCCTTTGAGCTCCCTCTGAACTTGGACACTTGAGGGCTGGCACTTCCACACTGCACTTGTCCCTACTGGTAATACAATTAGGGTGTGAGCACTGCCCAGAGTCCCATTGAGGCTCTTAGGGAACTATGACACACTCAAATTGGAGAAAGGCTTTGGATCGATGGTCTTTGAGTTGGTCTATCTCGTAATTCAGGCAGGATGCCAAGAATCAGGCCTTTTAGGGTTGTACTTATTTTCTTTGTATTTTTCTGATATATTTATTACTCTGGTTTGTAATAATTTGTAAAGAATACTCGGGGCTGGCTAGTGAAACAGGGTTGGGGTAACCATGCATGCAAAGGCTTAGAAATCATGCCTATAGGACTGTTCTAATTCTGCATATTCAACTATATATAGAAATCATGCCTTTAGGATTGTTACAATTCTACATATGCAACTCCGCCCAGAAATCATGCCTATAGGATTGTTCCAATGCCATTCTGCATAATTCAAACTGCATTTAGAAACCATGTCTATAAGGTTCAATTTCTGCATTTTGATGCCATGTTTATAAGTTTTAAAACAAGTTCTGCATCTACAAACCATGTCTATAAGATTCAATTTCTGCATTTAGATACCATGTTTAAAACAAGTTCTGCATCTAGAAACCACGTCTATAAGTGTATAAAATCATCAATGTGTAGGAAACATGCCTATAGGAGTTTCTAAATGAATCTGATTCGCTTCACCCATTGCTATGAGTGAAATCAGTAATAATACATACCACCACCTACAGAGCCTGTAATCAATTTGTTAATTCCGCATCTCTTTTGGATAATCTAAGTCCCCCAATGTTAACAAGCATGCACTTTTATGATTTCAAATAATTCATTTTTTAAGCTTTACTGTCTTACCACCTTCTGAGTTCAATAGATACCACTCTTATAGGATCCTGTCTGAGCACTTAGGCAAACCTTAGAGTAATAATAAAAACGGAATCCGCTTCAGTCCTGATTCGGGCTTCTTATTTGAATTATGTAATAAACCAATCTGCCTTGATCCTTTAGACTCCTTCATATTTAATTCTAATCAGACCTAAGCAGTACGTGCAAGACATGCTATTATGTATTTTTTTTCTGTGCAAGGAGGTATATTTGAGCCTTATATGTTTATATGTCTCCCCAAATATGCAGTATGTGCTTTGTATGCCGCCTTAGAATTTTACCTTTGAAACTCCAAATAAGCCTAATATCCTTCCCTTTTTAGGATTAGTAGTCCTAAGTGCCTCCGGGACTGATAGGATTGGGACGGGTAATAGCATGCATTAAGTAATCGATACCAATCCGCGCTTTAAATACCTTAACGGGGTGGGATGGGTAGATATGGATATGATGACCACGCGATAATGTCACGTGTAGCCCCTCATTGAGGAGTGATTGCCGGACATAGTGTGGGGTGATCCATATTATTAATAAACCTAGGACCCCTCTCCCTTCATTCTTTATTTCTTTTCCTTAGCATTTTAACTCTTTATTTTTAAAATCAGCTCTTCTGATTGCTCTTGCAAGCCTTGTTTACTTTCAAACCATTATGTGCTGAAATCCCCTCTTATTTGAGCCTTATTTGTTTATATGTTAATTGTACCCAAATTCACAATAATTGTGTGGCCGGGAACCACACTAGTGGATTCTGAGGGGTGCGTAACACCTTCCCCTTAGAATAATTTCAAGCCCTTACCCTACCTCTGGTTATTCAAATCAAATTCTTTTGGTTTCCTAATGCACCCTAATCATTAGGTGGCGACTCTTCAAACCCAGTTCCCAAAAGGAATGAGTTGTCCCTCCAAATGTCATAAACCCGATTTCGCGAGAAAAAGGGGGCGCGACAGCCTGGTGACTCTGCTGGGGATTTTTTTAGGCTTTTACCATTTCAGACTATTATTGTGAATTTATGCTTCTTTACGCGCAATTATTTGTTTATTTCTTTTAGGCATTCAATTTCCTTTTCGATTGTAAAACTGACTTGTCTTTTTGTTTCTTTCCTTACTGCTTTCCTTCGTTGCCGCTTTAAATTATGGAACTGTTGTATTTACTGCTTTCTAAACGTGCAAATATGTGTCAACATGCTTTTAATTGTTGCATAATCATGCTCAACATCATATTCCATTCGTGCCAAACAAACCCCATAGCAACGCTTATAATGAGTGGTTGCGCTCTTCCGATATTATCACCCCCTAATAGCCTGTTTGGCCAAGCTTCTTTTTGGCCAAAGTGCTTTTTTTTTGGCCAAAAGCACTTTTGGCCAAAAATTGAGGTGTTTGGCCAAGCTTTTGGAAGGAAAAAAAGTGCTTTTGAGGAGAAGCGGAAGCAGTTTTGGAGAACCAGAAAAAAGTAGCTTCTCTCCAAAAGCACNTCAAAAAAGTTTAGCATCAACAGTAATCACTGGTCTACATTGATTCCAACCAGTTATTGATGATCCATATGCATAAAACATATAAAGAAACCTGAAAATACAGTATAACAGAAGGTTAACAGAAGTTAAGGACAGGTAGTCCTTAACTTAGACTAACAAGGTCATAAGTTAAGGACAGGTAGTCCTAAAATTCAGGTTACAAGCCCAAAAGTTAAGGACATGTAGTGTTGAAGTTAGACTAACAAGCTCAAAAGTTAAGGACACTTGGTCTTTAACTTTGATTTCCAAGTTCAAAAGTTATGGACATGTAGTCCTTAATTTAGAGTTACAAGTTTAAAAGTTAAGACATGCAGTCCTTAACTTAGAGTTACAAGCTCAAAAGTTAAGGACAAGATGTCCTTAATTTTTTAACTTGCAACTCTAAGTTAAGGACCAAGTGTCCTTAACTTTTTCACTGCACACATCAAAGTTAAGGACACCACGTCCTTAACTTTTTTACTGGTTAAGGACAACATGTCCTAAAGTTTATAAAACAGATTAATAATCTCTTTTTTGATTGTTTACCTGTTGTTGTCGTCTATCTTTATGTTAGTATATGTTCCCGGATTTTTACTTTTC